TGTGTTCAATCCAATTGAAATGGTTTGGGTCACAATGGAAGAAAGCTTGCGGAAATGTAATCAGTCATCGACTTTGAATGCTGTGGTGCTGACAATATGAGGCGAGTGGTGAATGAAGTACACAATGACAATTTAATGTTACATTAAATTGTCATTGTGTACGAAGATGCAAAATGTGCAACATATAATGATTCAACACAAAATTTTCAGTTACGACCACCTTAATTAGTAAGTAGTGAGGTATTATAAGTGAACTCAAATCTGGATAGTTTTTTAGAAAAATAATCAGAAATGATATTGATCCCAGTATCTCCTAACAAATCCTCCTAACTATTTGGGGTTATGTTCCATTGGGCTTCCATTGTCTAATATGATATGATTTGACATCTATGAAATAACACATGAAAATGAAAATTAAAAAGAATAGCTGAATCATGGGTCATTCAAGTGCTTTCACCTATCCCCTCTCTCCGCTTCACCGGTTTAGCGGGAGATGGCCGTTTGGCGGGAGTTGACCATTTTCCGCTATATTATGAGTTTCCATATATTGCGTATCTTTACGCTAGTTTGGCGAAGGAAGGTTTCGAGAAGGAACTAGGCATTATCAAAAAAGATCTTCAATGAAATGGTTACTCCAAAGTAATGATAGAATAGACTTCGGCTGAAAGAGAACAAGAGCCTCGCAAGGAAAAGAATCCGCTTGTGCTTGTTTGGGAGGAAATCCGCATACATGCATTCAGTCAAGCTAGCGTAGAGAGACGCAACATATGGAAATCCATGATAAAGCGGAAAACGGTCAACACCCGTCAAACGGCCATCTCCCGCTAAACCGGTGAAGCGGCACTCGAATGAACTTCAAACAGTCATTTCTCTAAGAAATAAGTCCAGTTACGAATGTATCAGATAATACCCGATGTAATCAAAGACAATCATAATAACGAAAGTTTCAAGAAAAAAGTTAAAAAATGGATATTGCTCACCGAAAGATCATTTTTCCATGAACCTGTAAATCAAAATCTCATTTCATACTAGTTAAGACTGTTTTCCAAACATTGGTCATTTTATCACATTCAAAATATATTTTGCGTTCAACCGTCAATAACTATTGTCCCTGAACTACTGTAAATATTAGCCCGATCGTAAGCACTATTTTATAATTCAGACTTATTTTGACATTTTTTCAACAATAACTTTATATTACTTCTTATGACTAATTTCAACTTCCCTCATATGTACTAATTTTTTATATTTTATTATTTGCTGATATGGCTATACCACGTACAAGGAACACTCTTTCGGTGATGCCCCTTTTGTGATGCCGTTGTTTATATACTCCTTTTTTATATTTGAGAATTATGTATACCATTTATCTATAATAAGTGAACAAACATTATTATTATTATTTTCAGTAACTTGGCTTCAAATCTCTTGATTTTTAATTTTTATTTCATTTCAATTGTTCAATTTTTTGCGTGATTTTCATTTAATTTCTATTTTCAGCTATTTTCCTCAATTTTGAATTTGATTTGTCATTTCAGAAATTTCAAATAATATCATATCAGACAATGAAAGTCCGAAATAATGAAGTTCACCATGAAACATTGTCAACCACCATCAAACAAATATCTGGGGTTATACATCATTCATTTGTTTCATTGCAGGCAATGCAACGAAGGGAGGCACTGAATCAACGGAGCGAACAATTTATGGACATTCCAAATCATGTAGAGTAGAACATGAAACATATAATAGCAATGTATCGGTATCAACTAGTGCAATCTCAGAAATCGAAAGTGAAAAGCAGATAGATTTTTAGATAATTTTCCTGAAGGAAGGTTGATTGGCTGACATAATTAATTTAAAAAAAAATGGTTTCCTGCCAATATTTCGAATTTGATTAAATTCTTTCTTCAAAGCTCGAAAAGTAGTTTCCTCGTGTTGATAATATTACTATTTTGAAAACCATCAGACAAATTAGATACATATCAAAAAATAAAAAAACATTGCAACAGACAAACTTCCGACACAACACCAACACAAAACGACATGAAACAAATGTCGTTTGTCGTTTTGTGTTGGTGTTGTCTCGGAGGTTTGTCTGTTGCAATAAAATATTTGAATATGTATGTCTGATGGTTTTTAAAATAGTAATACTATCAACACGAAGAAACTACTTTTCGAGTTCTGAAGAAAAATTACAAATCATTAAGTAGAACAACTAGATATATGAGCTTATTAGTTATTGAATGTATTTTTCCTCTGATGATTACCTTATCCAGTTTTGAAAATTCTCAGTAGCATCTATACACTGTCTGCAACAGTTACCTAGTAGTAGTATTTGTAGTTACCTAGTTGTAGTAATCACTCCAAGATTTGCAGACCATCTTCATGCAGAAGGACATGAATTCAATGACGACTATGACGTGTTCCAAATAGAAGAAAAAAGTTTGAATCTCATGTTCATAAATGAATGGATTTAGGAATTGGGTCATATACTGAATGACCAAATAGAATTAAATACTCCCCGTTACTGAATAGTTTTTCAAATTTGGAAACTGGTAATCAACTGATAGATAAGCTCCGGCAATTTCATTTATAATATATTTATTTGATGTAAGTGTTTATTGATTCATTTTTAATCTCAGGTACACATTCTCAACTTTAATTGAGCAAGTAAAACTCAGGTACTTCAAATTATTAAAAATAAATATAAAGTATTGAATATGTAGATTTCGGTTCGTATAGACACATCTGAAGAAGCTATTTTATAGTGGAATACGTGTTACGTTTTCGTAAAACTATTTATTGAAAACCTCACAATGAAGTGTTTCTCAAATATGTCACGGATTTTCATCAAGTATCGGCCGATTACATCAGATACCTTGGTTTCGATCTACTTTTATTGCTGGTGGCAGTGAAACTGGCAGCTTTCACTGGATACCGCTGGCATTAAAAGTAATCATTGAAACTCATGTTTTTTCACAAATTTGTAATATGTTTTATACGGAGCCACGCCAATCACCACTTTTTCTTCTATTAAGACAGTATATCATCGGAACATCAAGCTAAGTACCTACGTTTTTAAATTTATCGTAGTCAATAAAACTTCTAAATCGGTTCTACCCTTACCCGTGTAATTTCTTGAGGCATAGGATCACTATCGTTAACACTTATATTCACCAGTTCGTGTTCCAACTCTAAATATTCCAATGCTTGACTAACAGCCAAAGATGACGGATCACCTATTGAAGAATAGAGTGTTATTGGCATATTTCACACAATGACAATTTGTTAAAAAGAATTCAATAATTGTGGATGTTCACTTCTGGTGTTGTTCACTTGAACAGTTGCTCTAAACTTCATAAACTTACTGAGAAATTCACTTTGGCATTGAACGTATGGCAAATACTCGACAGAAAAAACAACAACTAAAGTTTTTTACGTCGTGTATCTGGCCACACGTGCCTTAAAGTCGTAGGTTCACATGAGAGGAAGGGTGAGGTGGTTTCACTTATACTTGAGTATAATATATTAGTCCAGGAATATTAGTCAAATGAGGGCAAGTTAATCGGAATGATAGATAATCAGCTATAAAGTTGTATATAGAACTTTATTTTGACACCGTAGGGTGTCTGTGATTACAGATATTCCAAGGTCAAAGGTCAAAAAATCAATCGATTTTTTACACATTCATTACAAATAACTCATTCCCTATGGGCTTAATGTTATTTGTGTTCATTATAAATATTGTAGTGGATTGAATTCTCTACAACTTTTTTTCGAACATTTTTTATATCTTGAACAATTTTCGAGATAGAGGGCAGAGCGCGCGAAATGTTTAACTATTTAGAGTATCATTCAAGGACAACCTGTAGTCACGATCAAAAACACACTGTATACAGTTTACAGTTTAAAAGTTATTGATAAATATATAATTCTAAATATTCATAGTCTAGAAATTGTTGTTGTATTTGATAAATACTCAGATAAAAACATAAAAGCAATGGAACAGCGGAAAAGAACTGCTTCTTTTTCATGAACAAACGAAGTTTGTTTCGGCGAAACCATGGTTGTACCTATTATCCAAGTGTTATGGGCACGCTTTGTCTCAATACTTCAATACAAAGTGATATCAATGAAGATGTTTTTTTGACCCCGAAATCCTGGAAGAACTGGGGACAAATATCATTGAAGACGAGAGCATATAAGAATTTGAAATTTAACAGCGTCTAGAAAATTTAATTCTTTTATTTTTATTCAGTAAGGAAGTAATTAATATGAATTTAAAATTAATTGAAGTATTTCCCTTAATAACTTTATGATTACACGAGTAGGTAAGTATTAATAAATCAATGGACACTGAATTATAAAAAAAAATAATTATAACGTAACAGTTTATTGAAAACGCAAACTATTCAGAATTACATTTCAATATTATCAATATTTAATAAACTCTATAAGGCGAGAACAACCTACGATAAGAAGGTTTTGAGACAAGTTTTAGACAAGGTTTATATAAGTTCATAGCAGACTTTCCCTCATATATACCGGGTGATTCTCTACGGTGGCCCACCCCTATATCTTTTTTATTATTGGAGATAGAAAAACGAAATTTCGGGGTTGTGTATTATAGTTCAATTTACATTTTTCGACATATTTACTTGCTTTGCCGTACTTCCGGTTTGACCGGAACAATCAAGGTCGCATATCTATAGTTGGTTGCACCATCATGACACTTGTCATTCGCCCAGATATCATTGTTCGTAAGTGCACGCGTGACGAAGTATTTGGAAAAATACTGTTCAACTGTAAAGTGCCTGAAATATTTATTCTGGCTTTAATACTTTGACACGGTGGGGTAAGACAGGACAATCATTACCCCAAAGTGTAAATGGAAATGATTTTTTGTTTGGTTCACATGAGTTGGGTTACTTTTATTATTTGCGTGCTTTTCATTGTTTTTCTCTTTGTGAATTCGTGAATACAAACGCATGACTAGCAGAGGGTCGTAGTCAGTTTTTCGGCCTATAACAGGAAACGTCGTTCAGGGCTCAATACAGTGGGTACAAATAATCAGTCGGCAACGCTTCAAGCTGTTACTAAAGAGGTGTCACTTTATGTTCATCGACTAGATCCAAACTCAACAGAGGAACAGTTAACTAAGCATTTGAAACTGATTTTTCCAGAAGTTGAGTGTTCTGCCTGGAATCTAAATATCTTGAGTAGTACTCATCATTTAAGGTGACCATCAACCAAGACAATTTTGAGAGAGCAATGGAACCAAACAGCTGGCCATATAGTGCCTGCATCCAGCATTTTTCATTCCTTCGTGAAAGGAAGACAAATCAGAGCTGAAAGAGTTATTCGACACAAATATTTTATTGCTTATGTGGACACAAGTTTTTGATTGAGAAATCAAGATTTCTCAATTTTCAAATTTGATTTTTTTATGTTTTATTGAGACATGGGAAAAAAGTAACTCTTCACAGTATATTAATATTGAAGATTTTTAAGTTATGCACGTCATTTAGTGGTATATGTTTGAAGGAGGAGGTGTAGCAATTTATGCAAAAAGATGGCAAGAGTGTGATATCAATCAATCTTACTGACTACTGTCTAGTAAAAGTGATCGAACTATATAAAACGGCATTAATTGATTTGAATATGTCAATGGGCTGCAATAACCATATATTGGGGTATTTCAAACGATCGTCTTTGAAAAACTTGAATAATATATATGATATTTGGACGAAGCATTCAATTATTTCTATTACATATTTTTATATCTTTTTGATAACTTGTCTGTACTTCTTTTGCTGAAACACCTAGAGAGACTTTATCACAAATTCCAAAGGTCAACGATGTGCTAAATAGCCAAATAATTAACACTTTCTTATTAGTCAGTGGACTGGCAGTAAACAAACCTAAAGCAAATGTAGTAAAAGTATCTTCTGATAACTTGAAAAATCTTTTCAGAATGAAAAGCACTTACCCAGATCTTCAGAATATATATACTGAGGCAAAAAAGCACACTTCAAGTTCATTAAAGATACGAAAAGAAAATATTATCAAGATAAAATTTCCTCATCAAAAAACTCTGTCTAATGAAAATAGATCTGAAACCAAGAATATAAAAATTGAAAATAATAACAATATTTTGATAAATCAACCTGACATGACCAATTTATTCTGTACTTCTTTTGCTGAAACACCTAGAGAGACTTTATCACAAATTCCAAAGGTCAACGATGTGCTAAATAGCCAAATAATTAACACTTTCTTATTAGTTAGTGGACTGGCAGTAAACAAATCTAAAGCAAATGAACTTCAAACGTTCAAGCCAGTCTCGATATACCTACACAGTTGGTTTAATGGACTGACGCCTATCAAAAAACAACTACTCCCCTGGCTAATACCACGAAGGGCGTTGGTTTATATCCGACAGGCGTCAGTGCAGGAATCTTCACAGACAATTTCCTGCATAATCCAAACTGTGGTATGAAAGCATGAGAACATCAAAAGAGACTGTTTGTTTCAACCTACGAAGTAAATATATATGTTTACTGAGCTTCAGTTTGACACTATCAACATGGAACCTCCAGGTAAGTTTATTATCAATATCAACACCCAAGAATTTAGTACAATTAACTTGATGTGCAGTTTCATTATTCAATCTTACCAAATAGCTTTTATCAATAGTTATATTTTTAGTAACAAAGTTGAGCATTTGAGATTTGGCAGAATTTGATCAGTTACTTCATTAGCTTTGACAATTACATTTGCTTTAGATTTAAATAATTAACAATAGAGGGATACTTTCACCTTTTATTAAAAAGAAAATTTTAATTTTAATTTTTCAACCTGCGCGGCCAATATATATCATTCTTGCTCCCCAAATATGAGCTGCAGTCCTCGTGGTTTTGGTTCCCTTTCAGTGGAAGAGCTTCATGAAGCAAGAGCCGAATCGATCCTTCTACGAAACCCTTCATCACTTGGAAGGATCGATCGCAGCTTGAGAAATGGTTCTTATGCAGATTATGTGAAACATGTTCCTCCTCACGAATCAGTAGGGAGTGGTCCTGAAAAACTTGAGAAGAAAATTGGATTAGATAATTTAGGAAACACTTGCTACATGAATAGCATCTTACAAGTGTTTTTCATGGCGAATAATTTCAAGAACTAGGTTTCAAAGATGAACGAGACCTGTTCATGCAGCTGCAGTTTCGTAAGAATGTATCATCTTTCCCACCAACCGATTTCCTAGAGTCTTTGAAGTCCACTGGATACTCGTTAGGGCAACAAGAGGATTGCTCCGAATTCTTATGGTTCTTGTTGAATACTCTTGGTGGGCAGGAAAATAGCAGAATCAATACTCCTGACCGTTCTGGATTGAATGATTCTGTACAGTCTATCTCTTCTTGTGTTTGTAGATCTTTTGGTGGAAAAATCCTCACTAGTTTACTTTGTAGTCATAACCAATCCGTGCAAAGCTTATTGTTAAATCATCTGAAAATAGAACTTTTAATGGGTGGTGATCAATTGTATTGCCAAATATGCGACAAACTAACTGACTATCATAAGAAAACAAGTATAGCTGAGGCACCAGTCAGTATAATAATAACACTGATGATTTTCAAACATGACTCAACCTCTGACGGAAGTACCAAACTTATACGAAGGTTCGAAATCGATGAACACTTCAATCTAGCATACCACTATTGTAATCTTCATGCAGTCATTGTTCACTGTGATTCTGGCGTTGAATCTGGTGATTATAACGCATTGGTCCAAAAAGAAAATGGGCTGGTTTAAGTTTGACGATAGTCGTCATTAAATATTCTGGCAATATCTTGAATTTATTGGAGCCTCTGGAAACACCCTATATTCAATTCTATGAAAGAGGGGGCATTGGCATATCAAGATCTTCAGATAATGTGGTGCTGCAGGTTTTTCCGGGTTTTCCTGCAGCTGAAAATGCAAATGCGCCACTGGAATCAATGAAGTCGCCCCCAAGCGCCAATAAATTTTTGTTGTTGTTGTTTCATGATATGTTTTACTTTCTTTTTATATATATCACCTGTAAACTATCTAGTACATTTATCATTTGAATCAGGAGGCTGCTTTCCACATCGTCTCAAGGTGGGAGAGGTAGTTCCGTTATGTAACACACATATAAACACATATATAGAACTATAGACCAGTCACCATACCCCATAGTATGGGTGAAATCTTTGAATATTGTTTTCTAAGTCGTCTCGATTCAATTCTTCGAAGGTATATGATAATTTCTCATAATCAGCATGGACTCCGATGTGGTTTTTCGACGGTTAAGGATTTAAATGCATTTTATGAAAAGTTGGTCCCATTTGTTGATGGTGTGGAATTATTTTGTGATCTCAGCAGGGCATTTGACTGCGTCAATCACGATATATTGCTGAAGAAATTGAAGGAATATGGTATCAGGGGAACAG